GCAGCTACAGCAGCCCAGCATTCTCCAGCTGTGCCCTCACCTGGTCGTTCTCATCGCTGAAGTTGTTGCCGTACATGAAGCAGCCGCGCTTGGAGGCGTGGCCATGCAGATCCACGTAATAAGCCAGCCCACTGTCCTTGGGGGCAATAGGCTCTGGGGGCTCAGCAGCCTCGGGGACAGGGGCTGGGGGAGGGCTCCAGGACCCCTCCTCCTCACAGTGCTCGCTGCTGTGGCTCGAGGGCAGGATCCAAGTGCTTTGCTCTGTGCTGTCTGCCAGCTGGGCTTCCTGAGCTGGGCACGAGTGGCTGCTGGCACGCCACGTGCTGGGGGAATTGCGGAGGTTGTTGGTTTTATCCAGCTCTGATAACGCAGCCTCCATGGGCGGGATGGGAGAATTGGGAGATTTGATGCTCAGCAAGCTGGTGCTGAGCGGGGAGACAAATGTCCTCCAGTCTGGAGAGCCCGGCAGGACACGGCTGTGGATGTGGTGGTAGAGCAGCACAGCTTTGGCCCCGTAGACTGCGGGGTGCAGCTCGGCATCGGGGTGCAGATACTGCCTGTTCAGGTTCACCCCACGGGAGTCAGTTCTGCAGAGAGAGCAGAGACACCAGGACCGAGCTTCCAGGGTGCCCTGGCAGAGCTGAGCTCAGCTTGGAATGCCCTTCCTGGGCATGGAGGGCCTTGGGCTCTGTCCTGGAACWGCCACAGTGAGGCAGAGCCCTGCATCATCCCCCCAGAAACAGGAATGGAGCTGGGGAAAGGTCTGAGCGCCAGGAGTGGCTCAATCTGGGCAGAGGAAAGCTCAACTGGGGACCTTGTCACTCTCTTCAACTTCCTGACAGGAGGGGACAGCCATGTAGGGGTCAGGCTGTGCTCCTGGAGGACAAGGGACAGGACCAGAGGGGAACAGCCTGAAGCTGAACCAGAGGAGGTTTAGGTTGGAAATTGGGAACAATTTCTTCGTGGAAAGAACTGTCTATGCTTTGCACATAGGGGTGGATTCCCKRTCTATGRAGGRATTTAAAAGCTGRKTGGATGTGGCTATGGGTTAGTGGTKGCCTTGGCAGTGCWGGGGGATGGTTGGACTCAGTGGTCTCACAGGGCTTTTGAAACCCAAATGAATCCACAATTCTATGATTTTTATAAACTTTACCAGCTTTCTGAGATCTCTTTTTCAGCAAACTCACAACCTTTTCCATATCTGCACCCATCAGCGAACGACACTCACCTTTTGCCCACATCTATCAACCAACATTCAAAACGGTTTTTACTTTTTCTTGGGGGAATGGTTGGACTCAATRGTCTCAGAGAACTTTTCCAACCCAAATGATCCCATGAAATACAGAGCAGGCTCTGTCTGGGGCTCACACTCACCGGTAGTGGCCCCGCACCACCCCGTCAGGGTTCAGCATGGGGATGAGCTTGAACACAAACATCCTCCTGAGCATTTGGGCACGGGGATCCTCCTCCCGCAGGATGAAGTCCAGGAACCCGTTGAAGACAAAGCTGGAGGGAGTTTCTCCTGGATGGACTCTGCTGCTGAGGAAAAACACCTGGGGACAAACAGACAGGGGTGAGGGGGGCATYCTGCCTGCCCCAGGATGCTACAATGGGGAAGGGTGTCAGACTCTGCTCCAGCTCTTGGGGACAGGACACTGTTCTGGTCACAGACACGGGGGTGGCAATAAGGGGTGAACACATGCTGGTCCTGCACCCCTGGCACAGCACCAGTGTGAGMTCTCACCTTCTTTCCAGTGAAGCACCGTGGCCGGGGTGTGCTGGTGTCTGGGAAAAGCTTGTCCAGCCGAGGCTCCCGCTTCTCCTGCATGCCATGGCACGAGGTGATGGTCAGCAGGTCCACACGGAGGTTATCCAGAGAGCGGCACAGCAGCTCCCGGTGGTAGTACACCGAGTCCAGGGGGCTGTGGGGTGAGAAGGAATCTCAGCCAGTCCCAGGAGTGAGGGGATGCTTTCTGCACCTGCAGCCCCAGCTCTGTGCCCGGGAGCCCCAGCAGGATCACCCCCACATCTGGGGGGTGCCAGATACCCTCAGAGCCTGCTGGGAACACAAACATTCGTTCCTTTGGGATAAAGAGGGTGGCCCAGGGCTAGGGGTTATACTGCCTGACATCCCCCGGCTGTGGGAGTGGTGGGAGAGCAGCTTGTGCACAGACACACCCGGCATGGAAGGTTGGGCCATCCCATCAGGGAGATAACACATCCCAGCAGGGAGATAACCCGTTCTGGCAGGAGGGACAGGGCACTGAGGGATTCATCCCATCAGGGAGATAACACATCCCAGTAGGAGGGACTGGGCACTGAGGGATTCATCCCAGCAGGAGATAACACATCCCAGCAGGAGGGATGGGGCACTGAGGGATTCATCCCAGCAGGAAGGATGGGGCACTGAGGGATTGATCCCAGCAGGGAGATAACCCATCCCAGTAGGAGGGACAGGGCACTGAAGGATTCATCCCACCAGGAGATAACCCATCCCAGTAGGAGGGACTAGGCACTAAGGGATTGATCCCAACAGGAGGGACAAGGCACTGAGGGATTCATCCCAGCAGGAGATAACACATCCCAGCAGGAGGGATGGGGCACTGAGGGATTGATCCCACCAGGAGATAACACATCCCAGCAGGAGGAACGGGGGCACTGAGGGATTCATCCCCTGACGAGGTACTGAGGGATTCATCCCAGCAGGGAGATAACCCATTCTGGCAGGAAGGACCGGGTTCCAAGGCACCCATCCCATGAGGTGGGTAACTCATGCTGGGCTCCAGAACAATAAGGGATCCTCTGGAATCTCGTGGGTAGCTCAGGGCAAGCTACTGCCACTGCTTGTGCAGAGCTAGGGCACAGAGAAGCTAKGGGATGGGTACAGGGACCTTCCTGCTGCAGACAGAGCTTCCCCAGGGGAAAAAAACCCAGCAGGCATAGACCAGGAAGAGGGGAGAAGGCCAGGAAGGGGGAACAAGAGCCAGGAAAGAAGGCCAGGGAGGGGACCAAGAGCCAGGAAGGGGGAACAAGAGCCAGGAAAGAAGGCCAGGGAGGGGAACAAGAGCCAGGAAGGGGGACCAAGAGCCAGGAAAGAAGGCCAGGGAGGGGACCAAGAGCCAGGAAGGGGGATTGTGGGGGGCATACCTGCTGGGGGACATGTGCCTGCAGTCCTGGAAGCGGCCATCCAGCTGTGCCAGCATGTCCTGGCACTCGGTGTAGGAGAAGGGGTAACAGAAGGCRAAGTAGGTGGTGGCCCCGCGGTACTCCAGGAACCGGTGCACGAAGGACAGCACAAACTGTGTCTCCACCATCTGTGACAGAYGTGGAGAGGGCTGGGCACTGGCACGGGGGTAGAGCCACCCTGGCACAGCTCTCCTCTCTCATCAGGGGTGCCCATGGCTGCTCACCCTTGTCCATCCCATGGGAATCACTGCCCAGCTGGCTCTGCTCCTGTCCTGACATGCTAAGCTGTTCCCTGCASAGCCTTCAGCTCTCAGCTCACCCCWCTGACCAAACCACACCTGCCCTGACCYGTGTCAGGCAGAGGGAGGGATGTTCTGGCTCTGGAAATGTTCCAAGCCAGGTTGGAAAGGCTGCTCTAGTGGAAGGGACAACCTTGGTTTGAGTAACCTGGTCCAGTGGAAGGGGTCCTTGCCCATGGCAAGTGTGGAAAAAAGATGAGCTTTAAGATCTCTTCCAACCCAAACCATTCCAGGACTAAATGACTCTCTAGCCCCTGTTCTGTGGGGTGTTGGGGATGTTGGGGGGTGCTGCCTCCCCACAGCAGCGGGGAGCAAGGAGGGCTCAGACCACAGCTCTGCTGGGCAGTTCCTACCACACCAAAGAAACCTCTCAGGACTCTCATCCCTTGGCTGAGCTTCCCAAGCTC